CCTTACTCAGGCCCTTGCTAGGGGGTTTGCAGATCCGCCATGCCGACTACAGACTCGCATAATGCCGTTACCCAAAGCAGACTGATTCCTTTTTTTCTTTTTCCCTATCAATATTTCTTAGGCAAGATTGTTAGGCGTCATTCTCCAAGGGGGAAGAAAAAAGAAAAAAAAAACCGAATTCTGCGAGCGTTCACCCGACCCGAGTAACGGAGATTGACCCTGACGAGTCAGGTCGATCGTGGTAGGCGCCTTTTGGCTACGGTCAACTTCCCCACGATTTGCTGTCTGGATAAGGTTGCAGAGTTCAGCTACTTGAACTCTAAAACGCAAAGCCACAGGTAGTCAAATATGATGCCACAACTTCATCAAAAATGGTATCATTCTGGACCAGTATATACGATGACATGCCTCAAAGAAGCGCTAGTGCATCACACAAAGATTTATGTACATGAAAAACAGTCCTCCCCCTTGTTTCCCCTTTTCTTCCTTGTTTGTGCCCTTCAAAGGTCGTCAATGAGGGGGCTGAGGCCCTGGGCAGTGCCAATGCGGTCCTCGAACCAGAAGCGAAGTCTCTCGACAGCAGCGCGGTCAGACATCCACTTGCCAAAGGCAGTGGGGTCGGTGCCGGGAGTCTCGAGGATAGGAGTGTAGTTGTTGGGGAGCTTGACGTCGCCGCGGACGGACCATCCACCGCGGGACTCCTGGAACTCGGTGCTGAGCATGTAGCTGTGGAGGAGCTTGGCGCCCTCGGGGTGAGGAGCGTTCTTGAGGATACCGCCGGTCTGGGCCCACGAGACGAAGCGGCCCTCGATGGGGTGGCTGGTGTTGATGGGAGCGGTAGGGTTCAGGCTGCCGGAGGAGGTGAAGGTGGCGGCCCAAGTGGTGTCGTTCTTGCCGAGGATGGTGCGGGGAGTCTGGGTGCCGCGGACCCAGCGGGGGTTCTGGGCGACGAGCTTGTCGAACCACTCAGCGCCGTACTGCTTGACACTGTTTTATCCGGTGTTAGTTGGTCGCCCTTCTGTCTTGGACTGTGATGAATACTTACATGAGGTCGAAAGCGAAGAGGACGGCATCGTCATCGTTGGGGTAGGTCAGGACGAGCTTATCCTTGAACTCGGGGCGAAGCCAGTCGTTCCACTCAACGGGAGCCTCGACGCCAGGAAGCTTCTGGCTGTTCCAGGTGTTAAGCCAGGCGATGATGAACATGCCGTAGTAGGTCGCGGTGCCGTTGGGCTTGAACTCGGACAGGATCGCGTCGTGGCCAAGGGGCGCGTAGTCGAGGAGGGCATCCTCAGCACTCCAGCGAGGGTAGTCGTGCAGGGTCTGGAGGATGATGCTGTCGACAAAGACGTTGTTGGCAGCGATCTGGTCGTCGAGGTTGCCGTCGTGGTACTTGGAGAGGTCGACGGTGACGTTGAGGGTCATGCCGGGGAACTTGGCCTCGAAGGCAGCCTTCAAGCTGTTCTGCTGGGTGAGCTCGTCACCTCCGTGCCAGAGGGTGACGACACCACCCTCGGCGAGAGCGGCCTTGTAGATCTCGTCGAGGGTACGGGTCTCGACCTCAGTGGCGGCGTTGACCAGAGCTTGGGCACCCAGGAGGGCGAGAGCGAGATGGAGCGAACCATAGTGAATGACTGACCAAATGAGTGGCTAAAGATTGACGGTAGCTTGAGAGAAGTAGGTTGTGGTGATCATTGCCGGCAATTCTACTTATATACTCATCTGCTCACGGATTTCGCCATGATACCCTGGTTCAATCGCGATGTCAGGTCACTGTGCAACACGCTGTCATTGTTTATTCTCGACCAAGGAGAGATCCGCCAGGACTCTCAATGTTGTAACGTGATAGGTCTCTACGGTTCCTGTACATCTCCTTCCCCATCAGTGATCTGCCATAGCCCTGCTAACAGGGGCTGAGCATATATCGCCTTGACTATTATCCCGCCATACTGCCATGTCCCACTTTGTCCTTCCATGCACTAAAGACTGCAACGTTCTGATCGATAAGACTAACCGCGCGCTTCATGACGAAAGTTACGGGAGGTCCCGCTGAGAGATGAGATGATCCCTCCTTCTTTTGGCCCACTCGTCCCATCTCATGTTAAGCCTTTGGGCCTTTACAGGTGTGGATGGTCTGGGGGGGTTTTCGGTGAGGGATAAACACACTTCCCACCGCTGGCGAGTCACGAGTCAGAGCTGCCCGGACCTCACTGCGAATACGGCCGAGTTCCCGTGGCAGATGCCTTTCGGAGTACTCCGGTAAAAGTGGAACCAACGGAAGGCACTGCAGGCACCCCGGGACCAGCCAAGCCGCACCAGCGGCAGGCCCCGTCCATTGGTCATCAGGGGGGATGGGAAGTTCTGCGGAAGATTTTTGGTTCCGGAACAGAGAGCCGGCCATGACTTTAACCACCTAAAGACGTCGATCCAGCCGTTATTCGGATGGGAGTAAAGAATTCTGGGCCCGATTCGGTCAGCATGCTGCAGGAACAGGGGCAAAAAGTGCCGGGGCTACATTAAAGATGGTGTGATCTGCGGCAAGACGTGGGACGGCCTCGTCATCCTTGCAATTTACTGTGGCTGAATGGTTCTCGAACATGGTCGAACAACTAAGGTAAAGCAGCGGCATCGATGAATGTCACCCATAGCGTGATCTTGTCTATGCATTTGTTGAAGCTTACTGTTCCAGTAGTAATCTCGCGCGCGGAATAGCTGCCCTGTTGAACAGGTGACATTTGCTTTTCCCATGGGGATTTTCCGCAACACCCCTCGACGCGCGGAATCATATGCCGACAGAGCGTCTAGATCTTGGAAATTGAAACCTGGCAGATTTCACAGGATCAACGTGAACCTTCAATCATGCCATCGAACAGTTCGCCGTACTTTTGAGTGAGAGGCATTTGATTTCATGGCGTGGGCACGTTCGCGAGTCATCCCGGCCCCGTCCGGATTATCGGCATTTGGCCCCCACTGGTAGAGAAGACTTGCTAGCGACTGTACGCGTACGGCGTCCAGTCAACGATGGCCCGCATTAAAGGAAGGATTCTCGTTTTCGGATTTGATGGAATAGTTTCCGCGCCGTAACAAACCGGGCATTGGTCATAGCGATGGGTGTTTAATTCAGTACCAACTAACTGTTGGCTCAGGCGGGAGAATGTCAGCTGGATCAATGCGCCCCTATCTACATGGATGGACCCCGGGAATTACAGCAGCTCCATACAAATTGGTACAGCTTTTATTGCGATTGACCCCTTATTACTCGTACAACATTTCTCTACCGTCTCGATTACTGATGATCGACTAGTCGAGTTTGCTGTAGTTGTTTCTGTGCATACTGCACATCAGTGCCTCGTTCCAGATGAAATCAATCCCAGCAATCATCAACCCTCTCGAGACTGCAACTTCGAAGATGATCGAGATGCAAGTAATTATGTATACGGCTAGCCATATAAAGATGATCAAATAACAGCCAGTGGGATGATTAGCGCATAGTTAGAGAGCCGTCTCGTACCCGGCAGGGAAATGACGTAGTAAATTGGCGACTCGTAGTGGCAATCTTGACAGTATTTCAGTACATCGTCTTCCTCGAACGGAGCCTACCTAGACTCACGTAATGCCATCCTAATCTATGAGTAGGCACGTGATACTGAGCAATGAGGCTTTCCCTCAAACCCACGCCACAGCGTCGGCCATGGCTCTCAACTTAATTCTGACCCGCTAAGGGCCCACCTCAGTACTCCTACTATAGCTAAAGTCGTCAACTCATGCTTCACGGGCCTTGGTCACGGTGTCTCAAGGTTCTAGTTTCAAACTGCGCTCGTGTTATAGCCACTGATTGCGACGGAGACTGACGAAATTGGCTTCTGGTTTTTTTAGTACCACATCAAAATAATTAATGAAGAATAGTCAAGAGCAATTGTTGACCTCGGGGTTAGAATTGTCCGGACGATGAGATCCCTCATCGCGTCGACGAGAATGAAGTTGAGTATCAGGTACCCACGTTAGTTGAGCCTGAGCACACTAGGATAGCTGTTTTGACATAAAATTGATGAGATTCAAGCTTTCCACTCAGACTGCATCACCTCACATTCCAAGTAAGCCGCCAACCTGTTCTCGAACCTAAATATCCCTTCTCTGTTTTCGAGTGCATTTTGTTAGCAGTTACGATGCACCCGTCACCCCCGCAAAAGGACGATTACAAATCCACTCAATTCGCGGGCACGGAAAGAGCGTTCGGTAATTTCGACCAATGCCCTGTAATAATTAAAGAAACGCAGGACAGTAACCCTACATGTATTCGATACCGTTGGCCTTCAAGACGAGTCGTGTCAACTGCAGATCTAACGTTTAAGGTATCTTAAACGGCAGGTTTCTGAAAAACAGTCTGATGAAATTGTTGATTGTAGACTTCTACCTGCTAGTCAAACATCTTCTGGGGTTCTCAAAGATCAACAACGGGTCTGAGCCTATTTGATTATTCGTTCTTATAACAGTACTAGGCCATAGTTGAGACGTAAATGTCAATGTCTCAATTGCGACTAAGAATTTGAAGCATTCATTTTTGCTGGTAGATGAAGGGCTGAAATGACTTCCTATGAACGTTGTATAATCCGCAAGGTTGTCATCAGAAAAGAGATGCGCTTTGGGAAAATTGCACTTAGCGTAAAACCGTTAATTCAACTCAGCTGATGTTTAAGTTGATATTAGTCCGTAGACGCTTCGCGTGACCACTTGAATTCATTTGACATCCAGATCGCTCCTACGACCGACGTAACAGCTGTTGAGTTGGTTCGCACCAGCCCAGACCTTAATCAGCTCTGAACGAGTTCTAATCGAGAACTGCTGACATAAGCCTGCAATAGGCTCAAACGGGTCACGGTTAAGAGAACTTTTGGGTTTAGTCAAATACCCGCCCCTCTGTAGATTGATGTTGATTGATGGGATCTTGATACCACTTGCGATTACTTCCCTCTTACACACAACAATCACTTCCTTACGAGATGGACGAATCACGCAACACAGGGCTCAGCTTTGGGGCCATCGGGACGAGGGAAGAGGACTGGCCTGATATCGATGGAGATCTCGATACAGAAGAAGGCGTTGAGGCTATGCGACGCGCCGACGCAGCTCTACACGCGACTATCGATCGATCCATACAGCAACAAAACGCACAATCAGCCCAAGGGGGCACCATCCCAAGGGCCCTCTACATCAAAGCCCAGAACCAGCAAAATCAGCTCACAGATGAAGAGCGACAGCTCTTACTGAGCCGCGACAACGTCGTTGGCAAGGCCCTCGCTCATCCTGACTCCCTCACAACCGACGAGATGCATCAGGCCCTCCTCTGGCCGCCGCCAGACGTTGTACGCGCCAACATTCAACGAGCTACAGGCGGACAGCTCAACACAGCCATCGAGCTCTACGCCAAGGAGAAGAATGCCCTGGACCGCGGCCAATTCAACACAATGATGAACTACGAGGAGGTTGCGCTGCTAGCGCGCCGCTTCCACGCAAGGGACGATGCGAACTTTTCCGAGGTAGGCATGTCGCAAGCTCTCGGTCAGCCCGAGGGCCGCACAGGCCGCTGAGTTGCTTTCAAGCATGTTGGGACTGGACTTCGCTGTTTTTCGTGCTACCTTGATGCGCCAAGTGGGCCAGATGTACCCGATGCGACAGATAGCACCTTCGTTCCCTGGTCCCGGCCTGGTGCAGTCTTTTCCAATGCCAGGACCAGGAGCTTTCGCGACACAGGGCCAACTAGGGCAGGGACATGAGCCAAGCGAGATCATCAGCACCATGACAGCTCTCCATGAGCAGCACCAGCTCGGCAATATCACAGACGAGGGGGTAGCCGCTCGAAACAGCGAATACCTCGCTGCTCTCCGATCGTCTTCTCAGATACCATCTTTGTTTTCCCCCAACGGATTTCAATCACCGTGGCCCGCGGTTACTCCGCCATCGAACGCTGACCGCTTCGGATCTGGCCCCTGGCCGCCCACAGCCAGGCCTCAGAACCCAATCACCATCTACGCCAACGAAGCGGGTGTCTCAGGCTTCGCAGTCGAGCCCAGGTGGTCTGCACTATCTGAAGACCAAAAGGCAGCTTACCGTGTCCGGTCTGAGACGCTGCGTCACGAGGCTTGGGCCCAGCAGGAGGCGACTCTGGCCGAAGGACCGTCACCTTTTGCCCTTACTGGTCCGGGGCCGCGGCAGCAGCCTGCAAGAAACTCGATGGGGCTTGCGAGCCGTGGAGAAGGCTTCCTGGGGTGCCCACCCGGCCGGGAATTATCACTGGGCTGAGCGTGTTCCGCGATGAGCAAGAAATAGAGTGGCAGGAGGTTCTGAGAAGGTGGGAGGCCCTTACAGAGGAACATAGGCAGGTGTTCGAGGCGAGGGCTGCGACGGCTAATGCTGCTGCGAGAGCTACGTTTAGGGAAGGAAGGACTTTGTAAAATACATGATCCCGTACGGAAATGGTTCTTCTAATCCTATTTGGGGAACCTAATATATGTATGAATTGCCTCAATGTAGGTTTAAGCTTGGCGCTTGAAATTCTGCTCTAATTTTGCCTTGACCACCTAGATTTCTCGGGCATATTTCTTGCCGTCGCGACGTCAACGACAGCACAGAGTGTAGCTCTCGCATACATGACATCCTAGACAGGTCGAAAAGATCAGAAGTCCGTGATCAGATCATCAAATATAGCGCTGTCAAAGACGATCTTTTGACCCTGGGAAACAGCCTGGAAGTGCTGGGTAATAAGCCATACGGCAGCCGGGCAATAGGCACACATTTCAAAGCCGACACACCCAAGCAACGCCGCGTGTCAGATGCCATAAAGTTGATCGAGCTATTCAGTAGCCAGAAGCGCGTGTGCGTGGTGACGCGCAGGAAATGTGCGGTCATGTACTCCTTCCAACGCTGCTGCCACTCGCCGTAGATGTCGAGGCCGAACTGGGAGTCGTACGAGATCTCGAACATCGCCATCTCGTCCATCACGAGCTGGTACGCCGCCGCGTGCCGGTTCTTGACGTTCACGTCGTCGTAGTAGTCGAACACGGCCATGACGGTCTGGATGTAGGAGAGCGCTCGCTCCAGGTACGCGGGCTGCCCGGCCAGTACGCAGTTTCCAGCCACCGTCTACTTCCCTGCCGGCACGTATCTCGTCAGCAGCCCCATCATCCAGTTCTACAACACGGAGATGCTCGGCGACCCGTTCAACCGGCCCGTCATCCTGGCGGCTGAGAGTTTCTCGGGCTTTGGCGTCATCACGTCGGATGTGTACGTGGATGACGACGTGACCTGGTACCTCAACCAGAACAGCTTTTTCCGCAGCGTCCGCAACTTTGTCATAGACCTCCGTCCGACACCTCAGTGGACATACGTGTGCGGCATCCATTGGCAGGTGGCCCAGGGCACGTCGCTCGAGAATATCGCCTTCATCTCGACCACACCGACCGAGTATGACGGCACAACGCAGCAGGGCATCTACATGGAGAACGGCAGCGGCGGCTTCATGAGCGACCTCGTCTTCGTCGGCGGCAACTTTGGCGGCAACTTTGGCAACCAGCAGTTCACCACCAGCAGCATGCTCTTCGACAGCTGCTGGACCGGGCTGCAGATCCACTGGGACTGGGGCTGGACCATACAGGACACCGAGTTCTACAACTGCGCCAAAGGCATCGTCATCGTGGGCGGCGCCGGCGGGCTCTTCAGCACCGGCCAGGGCGTCGGTTCCTTGTCTCTGGTCGATGTCCACATGTGGGGGGTCCCCGTGGTTATCGAGACATCCCTCTTCGAAGATAACTCGACGGCGCTGCACATCGACAACGGCGGGTTCCAGAACTGCGAGACCATCGTGCTCAAGAGCCAGACCAACAGCGTGCTCTACCCGGGCGATGGCACGGGTCTGACCAACGTGCTGTCGTGGGGATTCGGCAAAGTCGCCGACCCGAGCGGCGAGACCGGCTTCGTGAACGGCGCAAACATGGCCGCCCCGGAGGCCTACCCGGCGTCGCTGCTCGTGACCGACGACATCCACCCGCCCGCCAAGTCCTTCCACCGTACGCGGCCCAGCTACGCAGACCCGGGCAACAGCCAGATCTTCGACGTCAAGGCGCTCGGCGCCAAGGGCGACGGCGCAACGGACGACACGGCCGTTCTCAACCGCATCCTCGACATCGCCGCCAACGTGTCGGGCATCGTCTACTTCCCGCATGGCGTCTACGTCATCAAGGACACGAGTGGGCTTGCGCATTATCAGCCAGGCATGGCCGCAGATCATGGCCACCGGCTCCCGGTTCGAGGACATGGCGAACCCGCGGGCCGCAGTGCGCGTGGGCGCCGTGGGGTCCGTCGGTGTGTGATGGAGATCCAGTGTATGATGTCCACGGTCCGCGGCCCGACGGCTGGCGCCGTGCTCGTTGAGTGGAACGTCCACGAGTCCTCGCAAGGTTCGGCTGGTCTTTGGGATTCGCATATCCGCGTAGGCGGTGCCAAGGGCAGCGATCTCCAGAATGCGGAATGTCCCAAGACGGCGCAGAACAAGAACTGCATTGCCGCGTCGATGATGATGCACATGACGGAGAAGTCGTCTGGGTATCTTGAGAACGTGTGGATGTGGGTGGCTGACCACGACATGGAGGATGCCGACCAGATCCAGATCAACGTGTATGCGGCTCGTGGCATCCTTATAGAGTCTCAGGGTCCGACGTGGCTCTGGGGAACCGCTGCCGAGCACGCCGTCTTGTACCAGTATCAGCTCTCAGGGGCCAAGAATGTGGTCATGGGCTTGATTCAGACAGAAGCGCCTTACTTCCAGTCATCGCCCAAGGCACCGGCTCCCTTTGAAATGGGGCTCGTGTTCAAAGACGACCCAAACTTCGCCGATTGCTCTGCGAGCTCCAAGACCTGTGCCATGGCCTGGTCGCTTCGCATGATCGACTCCACGAATATCTATGTCATCAGCGGCGGTCTCTATACCTGGTTCCAGGACTACTCGCAGGAGTGTGTGAATAGCGGCGCCAACGACTGCCAGCTGAGCACCTTCTACGTCGAGCAAAGCTTCGATGTCTGGGTCTACAACCTCATCACCATCGGCGTCATACAGATGGTCACGGCGCTCAACGGCCAGCCCGTCAGCGCAGCCAACAACCGCAACGGCTTCGCCTCATCGATTGTGACGTGGCTCGGAGGCGCCAACCAGACGGCCGGCGGTAGGAATGTTACCGGATACACACCCCACACGCGGGATGACTTGGCTGGGAACAGCTTCTCTGAGCAGTGCAAGACGGCGCTGACGGGCACAATAGCCTGCGTGAACCAGGCAATGCAGTGGACGTCGCTGGGGTACCGTGGCTCGCTCGACAACGCGACGCTGCAAGACGAAGTGTGCGACGTCGGGTGCCGCTCCTCGCTGGCTTCTTGGTATCAAGGCGTCTCGTCGAGCTGCGCCGACTACACCTAGAGCTCAGGTGCGCCTCTGGAGATGGTCAGCGGCTATGTCTGGTACGGGTATAACGAAAGCTGCCAGACCGACACCAGCAGCGGCCGGTACTGCAACGACATCATCGACGAGTTCGCCGAGACAGAGACTCTCGACGAGATGCCCGACGCCGAGCTCTGTTCCGACTGCTTCACCGCCCGCGTCCGCATGATGCAGCAGAGCACCTACTCGTTCTTCAACACAGTTCCCTGGTACCAGACGGCGCTTGAGGCGATCCAGACGCGATGCTCGGTGCAAGGGTCGACCGACGTGCCGCCGCCCCTGATTGTGGTGCCCACGCCCGACCCGTTTTGCGTCTCGGACAAGTACTACACCACCCAGGCCGGAGACACTTGCAACTACATAGCCCTGGCTAACGACGTCTCGTCGGCCAATGTCCTCTACGCTGCTACAGCCGCCGGTGCCACCCGCGGCTGCAGCGACCTCCCCACCGACCTGAGCATCTGCTTGCCTCTTACCTGCGAGACCTATCTTCTCAAGTCCACAGATGACTGCTTCTCTGCCTCTGCCACCGCGGGTATTGAGGACATCACCTTGTACAACTCGTGGATCGACGATGGCTGCGATAACCTACACGAGGCCAACGCCACGCTGGGCTCCGTCGTCTGCGCGTCTCCTCTAGGCGGAACCTACGTTCCCGGCACGGCGACCAACACCTCTGGCATTCCCGGCGGTGGCGCGGCCAACTACAGCTCCATCGCCGTGAATCCTTCCGGCGGCGCCACCGTTGCGCCCAAGACGACCACGGAGTGCGGCGTCTGGTACGTCGCCCAGCCAGATGACACGTGCGCCTTTATCACTATGACCTTTTCCATCGGCCTTTCGCTGTTCGCCAAGATGAACCCCTCCGTCGACGCCAAAACTTCGGGCAGATGTTCTGCTTCCATCGTGCCCGGTTACGCTTACTGCATGTCTCCCGTCTTCAATCCCGACGCAGGCTCCAGCAACGCCAGCTACACCACCAACTCCCACGGGTGCTGGTCCAACCTCGACAACTCATCACAAGTCCTGCTAGGTCCGCTATGGACTGACGAGGGGTTGATGACTCTCGACGCCTGTGCCAAGACGTGCTTCAAAGACAGGTACTCCCTCGCTGGTCTCAAGGGCGCCGACACGTGCCTGTGTGGCGATCAAGTGTCTATCAACTCAGTACAACTCTCCGAATCAGAATGCGCTGCTTCTCAAAGCCAGGATATTTCCCTGTACACTCTCTCGGACGACACCAAGCTCACCTTCCAGTTCGTCGACATGGGCTGCTTCGCCAAAACGGCTCTCATCGCTGGCTCCAGGCCCAGCGCGGCGTGGGCCACCAACAACACCGTCAGCAACTGCGCGTCGTTCTGTCTGCCGGTGTATCCCTACTTTGGCGTAACTAACGGCGACACCTGTCGCTGCGGGACGGGTGTCGATGCGGCGGCAACAGCCCTGGATACCGACACAAACTGCAACGTGGTGTGCACGGGACACGCGAACATGAATTGCGGAGGCTCGGCGGCGACGCATATCTACGCTGCTAGGGCGACTCCGTTGCCGAGGCCGGAGGTATCGCCGTCTTTGGCTTCCTTGATTGGTTCTGAAACGGCTGCGCCAACAGCTTGAGCGTGTCCGCGGGGGCAAGTAACACCTCACTATCTAGTCTAAATGTCCCGTGAGAGAGCCAAGGAAAACCCTTCTTTTGTACAAATGATAACTGTTGTTCGTAACGTCACTAGCATGTCGAACAGCCTACTTAACAACAACGGAGAACGATTTACCAGGCCAGGTCATAGATTTTGAACGTTTCCATATCCACAAACCTTGAACTGTGGCAGCGAGACTCACCAGTTGAAATCCCTTGACTTTTAGGGAAATGTAATGCCCTTATAATTGTATTGCGATATGATGACGGAACTTCGGAGCAGTATCACCCATGTAAGACACTATTTATTTACTGTTTTCGGACAACAGAAGCATGAAACGTAGCGTGTGAGAACGATTAGGTCTCAGGAGGGTAGTGTTCAGTCACTGAAGGCAATGGGATGAAATATGGGGAGGCTAGAACCTGTGTGAACCTAGTCATCGGAAGGGGACGTCTTTTGAGGATCAGCTCACGATTGAACTTTTCCGACATCTGTGTCGTGGAACATATGAGTTTTCCATCGTATCAGCAACACGTGCGAACATCTCTGGCAAATGGTTGCCTGAAAACTAAATCAGCAATAGATGTCCATGGATCACTCGGCAGCAGTTTTATAGTCGTGTTTCTTTGATATATGCATGCTACCAGTATGCTTGTGCTTCATGAGAGCAATCCACACTATCAAAGCCAGGCTGCGTTCTTGGTTTCAGTGAGGGAATCAATCAATTGCCGGCGTTGTCTTTTTATTTGACTTATCCAACACACGGTCCTGGGATTTGATGCAACAAGCCGCCAACAAGCTTGATTTGACACCAAATATGTACTCTATGCCTGGAGAAATGTTTTATTTAGATGCTATTTCGACCTGGCTGGGGTGTTCATGAATGGTCCGAACACTATGGGTATTCAGCAGGATACCAGAACACTCTTTCACCACACTCCATCGCAGAAGTCCCATTCGATCGGTGGATGGCTGCCTGAAAGTTCTATGAGGCAAGATCAGGCGCCTTTCCTTCTGCCTGCTAGTTCTTTCAACGAAAGAAGACTCTCCTGCTTCGCCAATCTCTTCTTTCAACTCACCATTATCTCCAAGACAGCCAACACTTCAGCGCTGCGACAGCCTCTACCTGCCTCAGTCCGAGAATCTGAGGACGGGAAATTTCGCAGAGATTCGCCGGTATCCCGCAATTCTTTCATCAATCCCATCCGAGCCAGCATCGCGTTGGCCGCAATCGCGTCTCCCACCCGAGCTTGTCACCAATTCTCGCATCTACCTACATTCGCCCCCAGCTCGACGCGCCCCTGAGCCCTGAATTTGATCCCCAAAACGCATTATACAACCCCAAATTCAAGCTTTCTCATCCAGTGCAAGTCATCACATCTAGCTGATCCCATCGAATGCATTTGTACTGGAATGGGGTTTAGTGGGCCCACTGGATTTTTCGGCGTTTTTGGCGTTTAGAGGTCAGATTACTAGCCCCCTTTAAGGGGTGAGAAGTTAGCTTAGATATTATTATTAGTCCTTATAGATTAGAGGTAGAATTTACTTATTTTTTTTAGTAGATTTTTAAGCTTTTTATTCTATTCTTTTTATTTTAGATCTATAAAGTAGATAAGAAATCTTTTCTTTTTTCTTTTAAGATTATAAGCTTTAAAACTATAAAGTTATATAGTTATAGTAGCTCTATGTACCCTTAGGTATATATATACTGCTACGTTATATAGCTCTTAGCTGCTAGGCTTATAATTATTTTAATAGTACCTAGAGGTAGATTTTTTCTTCTTTTGGACGCCTATAGGAGGCGCTAAAAAAGAGCTTACTCTTATGCTAGGTAAATAGATTGATATAATATATATAATAACTATAACTATTATTACTAGCTATATAATACTAAGAAATGTAATATATTAATAGGAGTTAGGTAGTTGTTTGTAGACCTAATTTGTAATAAGCAGAGAAGTATAATAGCTAAGTATAACTCTATTAGTAGGAATATAAGGATATAAAAAGACCTTAAAAAAGACTTTAAAGGTATTATAGTTTATATAGTAGGGAGTATTAGATTTTTATTTGTTTTCACTCTTACTGCTCTTTAATATTATAGGCTATTAAGGCTGGACTAGATCTACCTAATAGGCCCTCTAAACTAATAAGAATATAAAGCTTTATAATATTTAGATAAGATAACCTCTAAGAACTAATAAGTTTACTATAGAAGAATAGGATAAATCTGCTGTAAAGCTATTAGCAGTCTGCATAACCCCTAATAGATTAACTAGCAGAGGCCTAGAAGAAGGAATATAAGGATAACTACAGAGACCTAAGATAGTATAGCTAATTAAGCTTAAAACTAGTAGGGGTAGAGGTATAACACCTACCTACTTAGTTACACTCTTTTCTCTTTTCTCCTTTATTATATTTTCAAAAAAAGTAATAATAACACTTAAGATCAAAAAGACTAACACTTTTAATTACTTAAAATAATAACCTATATATTTACTATCTTAATTATTAATAACTACTATAGTTGAGATATAGCTTAAGACTACTAGAGAGATATTGCATAAAGATATCTTAACTCCTTATAACCTTACTACTAGAGGTAAGTCTACTAATATATTTAATATCTAAGCTGGAGCGTTTAGGAATATCTAGGATTAAGCTAAGGTAATTCTAGCTTCTAAAGACAGCTTATTTAATAGCCCCTCTAGTTTATAAGCTTAAGCTACTAATATTAACCTCACTGAGGTTAACTATACTGCTAATAGTATTTACCTCTATATTAGAGCTAATAGAGGTAAGGAATAGGCCTTTAGTATTAATTCTTATTACACTTTAAATAATAATACCTATAGAGCTTAGTAGTAGCCTATAGCTCCTATTAGTAATACTTATCTTATTTCTATAGATTAGTTAATAGGAATTATTAAGTAACTAATAGAGTTATATTTTTAATATCTTATACTAATTATAATAAATCCCTTCTTAAATGAGAACGCTCCTATATTTATAGGTAATAATATTATGGATTTTATTAAGACTTATAATTCTTAGTCCTATAAAGCTTATTAGACTGATAAGGATAAGCTAATAAAGGTCTACCTTTATAGTTTTAAGGATTTGAGGTAGGGTGTTAAATTGCTAGTTAAGGACCTTAATGATTAGGAAGTTGTTAAAGCTACCCTTATTAATTAGTATAGCATTATAGATGAAAGCTTCTATTAGGATCTTAATAAAGAGCTTTAAGTAATTAAGGATAAGCCCCCCCTCTTTAAGATAGATACTGTTAGTATTATAGCCCTTTTTAATTGTATTAAGGGCTTATGCTATAAAGCTATTATAAGGGAACTCTTAGGGTATTAAGACTAGGATCTTGTTTGCTTTATCTGTAGGTGCCTGCTAAAGGGAGCTATTAAGGCTGCTATAAAGACTCTCTCTTGCGATGTTATAGACCTACTTTAGAAGCTTTAGCTGAGCGTTAAGTGTGTAATTATTAAATGGGTAGCTAGAGAGACCTCTTATGTATATATTAGTAGAAGGAAGGCTATAAAGGTGACTACTCCTCCTTTAATTATTAGTCTTATTAAACTTATTAACTAGCCTGTATAAGTTACTTATATTTAGTAGTAATATAGCAACTTAAAAGCAGTAGACTCTAATAAAGTTGCTACTTTTTAAGAGTAGATATACTAAATATCTCTTAATAGTAAAAATACTAAAGAATAGATAAGGGTGTTTATAGCTAGTATTTAGAAGCTAAGTGTGAATATTAGCTAGTAGCTTAAATTAGTATAAAATAGTTATATTATAGATATAAACTAAGTATCTATAGCGTAAGGGGGTTATAAATAGTAAAGAGAGGTTAGCTAATTTATAAGCTTAACTATTATAAACTAGATATAGTATAATATACCTAGGATTAGGAGTTACTACTCCTATAGAATAAATAGATACTATATAGCTAAATATAATATTATAGATAAGTTAAGGAACGCTAAGGTGGTATATTACCTAAGGGGATAGTATATTAGCTCTTATGCTAATTATAATATCGTTTAGGATAGTATTATTAATGAAGGATAGAAGAACTTAATACCTAACCTAGCAACTATTTAAGCCTATATCCTCTAAAGTAAGGCGTACCTTTAGCTAAAGGTAGTAGTAAAGTAATTTTATAATAAGTACTACTTAGAGTAAGTGCTTAGCTTAGAATTATCTATCTATTATTAGGAGGCTATAGTTGTAATAGATAAAGCTTAGAGAGAATGGGAGGAGGCTAGATGATAAGTATTAATAACTGCTATTAATTATATTAATATTAGGTATGCGTATGGCTATATAGTTAATATTAACTATATAAGAGATAAGGAGCTAGTAGAGGTTAATACTATTATTAGAATAAAGAATAATAACTTTTAATATATTTTATATAGTAACTCCTTAGTAAAAAAGGTTTATTTTATAGATTAGATCTTAACTTAATAAGGTGCTATACCTATAGGAGGTGCTTAAGTTGAGGAAGTAGTTAAAGATGAAATAATTATATAGGTCTTATTATAACCTTAGCTGTAAGGACCTACTTGCTGCGAGGAGACTAGGGAGCTATACTAAATAACCCTCTTCTTAGATTTAGAAGAAACCTACTCCTAAGTTATAGCTTTTTATAGCAAAAAGCAGATAGGTAATATTACTCTGCTAGAATAGTTTCTCTTAGATAACTAGCTAGAATATAGATAGCTTAAGTTCTAGTATGTAATAGTATATATAGAGTAATATTAGGACTAAGTATATAGTAGTAATGTAGTTACTACTAACCTAGCTTTAGTTAATACTTATGTATAAATTAAAGGCTAAGAAGTGAGTATTAGGGAACTTATAAGGAAATAGGATAAGGAATATAGAGCTAACTTATAGCAGCCTAAGAATAGCAATCTTAGATCTATAAAAAGCAGCACTAA